GGGGGCACTAATTCCGGCTCCGCGTTTCTTCGTCGTCTGGCGCGATTGGCCTTCTCCTCCCCCCCCCCCCCCCCCCCCCCCCTTATCTACTTTTACAACGCCGACACAGACACGTCGCCTGGCGCAGATGCTCTCTGCTAGCTTGCAAGCGTCTGTGAACTTTCCCCCTGTTTCCGACGCAAAGAAGGTGACTTCTGCAGCCGAAACGAAGGCTGCTGCGGACGCGCAGAGGAAAGACGAAGCTGCATTTCGCTTGGCCGTCACTCACCGTCACAGTGCGCTCGTGTATGCGTGCGCGCAGAGCCGTATATGGGGAGAGTTTGGTCAGTCTACGATCTCGCCGCCGTGACGCTTTCCTCCCGAGTGAGCCAATCAGCACGCGGCGCAGAGCGAGAGGCATGAGCGCATGCGCGTGAACTCCCGGCTGCTCCCAGCTGAGTGGGGAGAGCCGCCATTTTAGTTCATTCTCCCGGCGGAATGCGTGGGATCGGCATCTAAATCTCGATTATTTCCTTTTATATCACTGGCTCTGGCAAGAAAATGACATACTCTTATTCCTCGGTGGGTTGAAAAGCTAATAAATGAACATTTTTCGGCGTATGGCCAGAAACTTTTATTAAGGCGAAAAAGAAGTCGGCCCGTAGCAGACGACGCGTAGCCTCAGCAGTGCTCTTCTCCGACCAGTCTCCGGCAGCGTTGCGAAAAAATGGCGGTCGTCTTTTCTCTGCTCCCTTCTTTCTCTCTTGCTCCTTCGGCGCTCTCCTCCCTTTCATTTACTTTTCTCCTCTCCGGCGCCTTCGTTGGCACACCAACTGGCCAAACTCTCCCAATATACGGCTCTGCGTGCGCGCTCGCCCGACGCCGCACCGTCCTAACCAACCCGCATAATTGTGACTCGGAAAGCGCTCCAGAAACAGCAAACACGTCACGAAATACGCGATTTCCGGGAAGCGCACGGCCCACGCGCGCACAAATACGCGTTTGCTTGGATCGTGCTTAAGACGCCACAACACTCCGACGCAAGTCAAACAAACAAAAGAAAGGCTCGTGATACACCTAAGCACTTCTTATCAGTCGTGAATGCGAAAGCATGCATGACGCTGTTTCGCTCCCCGTCTGCGTTGCACTTGCGTGGACCGGCAGGTGGCGTCACTGCCGATGTGGCGGGCGCCGACGATGTGGATGCTTGATGCGGCGCCATGTTCGTCGGCGTCGAGACGAGCAAAGTCCCGCCGACGATATGGATCCTTGATGCGGCGCCATGTTCGTCGGCGTCGAGACGAGGAAAGTCCCGCCGACGATGTGGATGCTTGATGCGGCGCCATGTTCGTCGGCGTCGAGACGAGCAAAGTCCCGCCGACGATGTGGATGCTTGATGCGGCGCCATGCTCGTCGGCGTCGAGACGAGCAAAGTCCCGCCGACGATGTGGATGCTTGATGCGGCGCCATGTTCGTCGGCGTCGAGACGAGCAAAGTCCCGCCGACGATGTGAATGCTTGATGCGGCGCCATGTTCGTCGGCGTCGAGACGAGCAAAGTCCCGCCGACGATGTGAATGCTTGATGCGGCGCCATGTTCGTCGGCGTCAAGACGAGCAAAGTCCCGCCGACGATGTGAATGCTTGATGCGGCGCCATGTTCGTCGGCGTCGAGACGAGCAAAGTCCCGCCGACGATGTGGATGCTTGATGCGGCGCCATGTTTGTCGGCGTCAAGACGAGCAAAGTCCCGCCGACGATGTGAATGCTTGATGCGGCGCCATGTTCGTCGGCGTCGAGACGAGCAAAGTCCCGCCGACGATGTGAATGCTTGATGCGGCGCCATGTTCGTCGGCGTCAAGACGAGCAAAGTCCCGCCGACGATGTGAATGCTTGATGCGGTGCCATGTTCGTCGGCGTCGAGACGAGCAAAGTCCCGCCGACGATGTGAATGCTTGATGCGGCGCCATGTTCGTCGGCGTCGAGACGAGCAAAGTCCCGCCGACGATGTGGATGCTTGATGCGGCGCCATGTCCGTCGGCGTCGAGACGAGCAAAGTCCCGCCTACGATGTGAATGCTTGATGCGGCGCCATGTTCGTCGGCGTCGAGACGAGCAAAGTCCCGCCGACGATGTGGATGCTTGATGCGGCGCCATGTTCGTCGGCGTCGAGACGAGCGAAGTCCCGCCGACGATGTGAATGCTTGATGCGGCGCTACGTTCGTCGGCGTCGAGACGAGCAAAGTCCCGCCGACGATGTGAATGCTTGATGCGGCACCATGTTCGTCGGCGTCAAGACGAGCAAAGTCCCGCCGACGATGTGGATGCTTGATGCGGCGCCATGTTCGCCGGCGTCGAGACGAGCAAAGTCCCGCCGACGATATGGATGCTTGATGAGGCGCCATGTTCGTCGGCGTCGAGACGAGCAAAGTCCCGCCGACGATGTGAATGCTTGATGCGGCGCCATGTTCGTCGGCGTCGAGACGAGCAAAGTCCCGCCGACGATGTGGATGCTTGATGCGGCGCCATGTTCGCCGGCGTCGAGACGAGCAAAGTCCCGCCGACGATATGAATGCTTGATGCGGCGCCATGTTCGTCGGCGTCGAGACGAGCAAAGTCCCGCCGACGATGTAGATGCTTGATGCGGCGCCATGTTCGTCGGCGTCGAGACGAGCAAAGTCCCGCCGACGATATGGATGCTTGATGCGGCGCCATGTTCGTCGGCGTCGAGACGAGCAAAGTCCCGCCGACGATGTGGATGCTTGATGCGGCGCCATGTTCGTCGGCGTCGAGACGAGCGAAGTTCCGCCGGCGATATGGATGCTTGATGCGGCGCCATGTTCGTCGGCGTCGAGACGAGCAAAGTCCCGCCGACGATGTGAATGCTTGATGCGGCGCCATGTTCGTCGGCATCGAGACGAGCAAATTCTCGCCGACGATGTGGATGCTGGAGGCGGCGCCATGTTTGTCGGCGACGAGACGAGCAGAAACCGTCGAGCGCGCTCCACCGTGCCTGTTTTAGCGGCGCGAGGCCCGTAGGTCCATGTGGTTGCGCCGCTTCGTTTTACCGGTGCGCGGGCGGCACAAGCCCGCAGCGCCATGGCGTGGCCTTCCTTTAAACTAACGCGCTCCGGCCAATGGAAGCCTTGTCCCATAAAACTATAACGCTCGCCAGCCAATTGGATTTCAATGGCAATCCATTAGATTTCGGCTTCACTTCATATCATTGGAAGTAGAAGAACTGGGGGACGTTTGGCTGGGCTTTTTATGCGGCGTCAAAGTTGTGAGCCATCAGGTCGCGGCATTAATTGGAGAAAGGAGTTTAGGTTCTGTTTGGCGCGGCATCAAAGCTGATGTCATTGGCTGGCTCCATGGGACAGTAAATGCTTTCGCATTGAAGAGGCGTATCCGCAGTCAGGTTTCGAACCTCGGCTCTTTTGCGGGGATCCAAGCACGATAAGCGCTCGGCCACGGGCGCCCTTCCAACTTGGTTAGCTGCGCCCGCGGCAACAGGAACATCGTGGAAAGTTGGGCGAGATACAACCCTAAACTTGGGCCCTAATCTGGACATTTGGCGAAAACGTCGGCGAGAAATTTGGCGACCGTGATTGGTTGACGCCGCACATGACCTTGTTGCCCACCAATCTTTTCCGCCGGAATTTCTCGTTGACTTTCACGCCAAGTGTCCAGTTATGTGCTTTAATGGTACATGATGAACTAAAAGTAAAACAGCGCCAAAGAATACAACAACGGAAGAAAAGAAGGCAAAGAGTAAAAACAGAGCGCTGACTCTCAACGGATTTATTGCAAGAAAGCACAAATCGAAAATCATCCCGGACCATCAAAAAAACATCAAGTCACCGCCTCCCGCGCGTGTTAAACCTGCTCAAGAATGCCAACTATTTCTCAAATAATGCGACAGAAGGCGAACTGGCGCGCCTTTCTTTAAGCTTCAAAATAAAAAAGGCTTCTAAAATTTCATACAAAACTTGAAAGTATAAAACAGAGAGGACGAGGACGGGAACAGGACATCTTTCAAGAACTAAAATTCTAAAATTTCTCTAGTCATCTGTTGACTGTGTCGTCCTTAGATACTCGTATTATCAAATAGGGGTTTGCAACCGCGCCTATCGCAGTATACTTCCAAGTTACCTGTTGGCGATGATTTAACCGATAGAGCATGCTCTCTTGACCTCTCGTTCATACATCTGCCGGCCTGTCCGATGTAAACATAGCAACAGGACAGTTTGATGTTATAAACTGCAACTACTGCAACTTTAGCGCAGGAACTTCAAAGGCGCCGACCAGACCACTGGCACTCCATTGCTACATTTTTGTAGGTTGTGTGAGACCTTATGCACATAAGGTAAAACCGTAGCTCTCCTTTTTGGCCTTTCCCAGGCAACCTTACACGGGTCACGAAGCCCTCTTACATATTGAGCTCATTCGTAATCAATTCTATCTGAAAAGTTGTATACAACGTGACAAATTATATAAAATGTTTCACTATTAAAACAAAAATATATGATGCAGAACAACTTGAAAGTATTTTCCGCATTTCTGTAGTGAAAAACCAAAACACAAAATCTATAGAAAGAAATATCTTGCTTTCAGGAGCGTGATGCCCAGAACACATCTTCCCACTCTCGGTGTGCTGCATCTATACCTTTCTCGCGAGCACCTGCTTTTTTCGTGCCGGCTGCAACACGTTTCTGCCTGCAGCATTTCCATTTGTTGTGCTTTTACCAGTAAAAATAAATGTGACTTTCAACAAACATTCAAGGATTGTCAAAAGTATATAAACACCTATTTACGATATATTATTTGTTGGAGTTCTGCTTTGTTTCTGTTACACCATATATATTTTTTTTTTTCAACAGGGTGCCGAGATGTGCAAATCTGTGGGGAACTCGCTAAAACAAACAAATCAAAAAGCGATATAGCTTATAGCGTGACATATGGCTCAAAAAAGGGGAGTTTGATTACATCTACGCTCGAGACACTTCCGCGGTAAGCACTGTCACAGATGGGGCATTTGGCATCGCCGAAAAGAGCGTGGCGGATCGCGATGGATGCTCCTACCGCTAGAGGGGAAGTCGTGGTGACAGTGGATGACATCGAACGTCTTGGTTGTTCCAATATGAACGGGAGTGCGAAAAGTTACTGTAACGCTGGGGCGGACCTGGAACAGACACTCAAGGAAAACCGGATGGCCTACCTCAGGTGAGCTTCTGGGTACCGTCTAGAATCCAGATATTCGTACCAGAGGAGGTCAGGGACCTCCTCTAGTACGAGTTGGACCAAATTTGAACTTATTGACAAAACTTCGACTGAAGTTTCGACTTTTGTGCGCATGTGCGAAAATCGAAATCCAGCAGACGGCACTTAGCGGAGAAGTGTAATCTTTGTTGGGTATATATTTTATTATTTGGCATTATTAGACCAACCAAAGCGTTAAAAGCAGACATGTTGTTTTTATGTTGTGCACATATTATACGAATTTTATAAATATAATTGAAATAAAATTGTTGCGTACAGGTTGAGCAAAACATCTACAGAAGATAGCTCATTGAGTTTTGAGAGAAGTTCGAAGTTTCGACTAACCAGTCGAACCTCAGTTTTGAACAGAAGTTCGTAATATTCCTAGAAAATTAAGGGGTAACCTGAATCGACGTGACGGCAAGAATATACGATGTCTGCTCTGTCGCGAACTTACTCGAGGAACTTCTTTATGCAGTTATGAAACAGTTTCAAACTTACAAAACTATATCTCATTGAGAGCAAGGATTCATTCGAAGCACAATAAAAATAAGTTTTGAACCACTTTACGCGGAGCGCAATTTCGTCTGCTCCTTTCACAGGGGTTGCGCTGATGCCAGAATGCCGGTCTCTTATTGGCTGATAAAAAATAGTGGGTACACCTCAAGGCACATCACATCAAGGCCTATCGACCTTCCTTTTAAGCAGAGCCAATCAGATCTCAGCGCCGCTCAGTCGTCACCACAACCCCTGCGTTAGAAGCAAGCGCTCTTCGCATTAAACTGGAATGTTTCTGCTACAGCTCTTGTTGATCGTGGTGATCATGAAGCTTTCTTTTCAGTACAAGCACTACCCAAAAGAGTAAAAGGCATACGCATGACGTCATGTTTAGTGGATTCCTCATTCGCCCAAGAGGCATTCACGCTGAAGTACCATGATAGTCGCCGCGAAGAGGCAGACGGATCTATTTTGGCGTCATCGTGTGCAAGCGTCCCGCTCCTTGTGAGAGGCTGGAAGTCGAGCTAGCGGCGATGGTGAGGCTAGCTAAGCGGAGCAGCGTGGATTTTGTACTGATTGACGTTTGAGGGGGGGGGGGGGGGGGGGGGGGGGGGGCGGGGGCGCAATCTTTGTCTTCTGGGTGGTAATAATACAATACAGGAGAGTCACACGGTGGCCGAATCCCCAATGAAAATGCCATTGCTCGCAGTTACATGACTCAAATGTCTAACAAACGAAACGACGCATCCCCTCTTGAGTTTCGAGGACTAGGCAAGAGACGCGGGAAAACGATAAGAACGTCGATTTTTCCAACTGGGCATTACCGACTGGCTGCAGGTGAAGGTGTATAGGAACGCGCAGTGGTTTAGTCTGCAGCGCTCTGGTATTCAGAAAGCACTGAATTATGGAGTCAAGCTTGAACGTTTAGACAGCCCGGTGCCACTCTGCCTCTCGGATACGGTGACATTGGTTCAAGTCGTGGACGAAACATTTAGCCGGCGCGGAGCTCCTCGTAGTCTGTAGACTTCAGTGCAAAGCTCGTAGCAGGGGTACGTAACGGGAAGCAGATACGTTGATCATACAAATCGAAACAAACGGAGGCAGGAATGGGGCACAGGGTTCTCGGGTTCTCTACCTAAAGCCTCTCATTGAAAACTGAAAAAAAAAGAAAATTCGTAGCAGTGGCCCAAGAGCCTTGGTGTTTTAGTTGCACAGACAGAAGCATACCGTGCCAAAGGAAAAGGGCAGGGACTCGGGAAATACCACGTTCTGGACGGACAAATGGGCGTTCACTTGAAACATGGTCTTTTACATTACTTCATTTTTATTTTTTCATCGGTGCGTTATTTTGCTATCGACATGTTTATAGGTTTATTGTTTTTCCGGGCAGTTTCTTTTCCTCTCCGCATTTAGAACACTACTGGGCAGGTGTCAGGCAATAATTCTTTTTATTAAATTAGTTCATAAAAAAAGCGTTTTGTGGCCCGGTACCACACCTACGTTGAAGCCATCTTCATCAATAAGCAACCTGCTCATAAGCTGTCGTACTGATTATCCTGTTAAACCTGAAAGCAATTTTACGCTTGGTAGGGTGGCAGTATGGCAGACTGAAAATGTGAATGTATTGAGTTGCTTATGTATGATATTAAAATTTGTAAAACGAAGTTAATGTTCATATTTAAGTTGTTAATTTTATCTATTTTGAGCATACTGCCAGCCCGGTAAGAATGTTAAAAGAAAAACCAGGTTCTGATAATAAAATATTCGCTACAAAACGACAGATATTTGCAGCCTCTACAGCATTCGGTTGCGCATTTAACAAATAAAAAGTTTCTAAAGAGACACAGTTCAAGCGATGATGTTTAATGGTTTTTCTTGTGCTTCGTTTATAATAATGTTATCCCAGATTGCAAACATAACTTATTTGTTATCATTATTAAAAAATACCTATGTTAGAATAGGATTTACCCAGAAGGCCCAAAACCCCAGTTAGTACATTTGTCTTCACACGCAGGTTGCGTCTATTGCCGAGGATACTTCGGGACGTTTCCCAGCGCCGATTAGAGGTAACCCTGCTGGGGGACCAGAAAGTGTCAATGCCGGTTGGTCTCTCGCCGTCATCCCTCCATAAGCTGTGGCATCCGGACGGGGAGATCGCCACCGCTAGAGGTAAGCAATCCAGGAGTTACGAAACATTCAATCGACCTGGTGTCAAACTTGTAGCTCCCCCTAGGCGCCGAAACATTTTTTCGGGGAACTATCTGTGGAATCAGCAAACAGAACTGGTGCAATAAACGCAAGCGAGCAGGTTGTTTGTAGACAATCAACGGCAACTGCGCTGTCGCTAATTCTACAAGAAATACTCTGACCCTGCTTAGGGTTACGAAAAGCGGGGCAAGCTTCTTCCGGAAAGCCGTCCACTCTTTTCACTTTAGTAGAGCGAACGCCAGAGGGAGCGAAAGGAGGCGATGAGGGACTGCTTTACAGCGCTTGCTGTGCTAAAGTGAAAACAGTGAAGAACTTTCTGGGATTAGTTTGCTCTACTTCTCTTAACCTGGAACAGGGTATACGGTAATAAATGTCACTCCACAAAAATGCAATGACCTAGACGCGGAGATGCTTTGAGTTGTCGAGGCGTTCGTTATCACGAGCCCTAATTGAATCCTCAAGCAGTGTTTGGCTCTACTATACGAGCCGCATTGAAATGTATCAACACAACGGGAATGGGAAAGCTTGATGGCGAAAATCTGGGAATCACGCATGGTTGACAGCGCCAATAATGCGACCCCACAATTTTCTTACGAAGGTATGCAAAGGAGAGACTGAAATAAAACGTCCGTTTTTATCCTTGAAATTGCGGGGCGACAAAGTATCTTCCATGGTCAGTGGCGTTGTGTGCGAGAATACATAGGTTCGCCAGTAGCACTAAGGTTGTGTAAACTGAGAAACATTCGTATCCCGTATCATTGCTGGAAGACCAAACCTATTCACGCGAACGCTTCATTGAAATAGGCATAGATTGCGTGATGTGTTCAAGATTACAACTTTCATGTCTGGTCACACGTTGCGTATACATCGCAAATGTAATCTATTATTTCCTGGCGTGTGCGTTCTTTTTCTACATGAGATCGGACCGCAGTCAGTGCTCTAATCCTTCGAAGTCGACCAATCAGCGTCAAAGGTGCATGGCCATTGCTCTTGTCTTCTTTGTGCGGTTTATGCACATATCACCGGCTAAACCAACCACGCACCTTGAGTGCGGCTCGACTTCGAGCTCTTTTTCTCCGAGTGAATGGCTTAAACTGCGACAGGAAATGCACGAAGACGACAAGCAACCTGACGATGCACATTTTGGCGCCGCTTGATTTGCTCCATCACATAGTAGTGTTGAAGGCGGTCGGACTAAAAGGAACGCTAGAGTAAAGATTAAAAAAATAAAAACTTATTAAAAATGTTTTTTTTTTAATTTTTATTTTATCAATAATCACGCCGTTAGGCGCAATTTTGGTGGTAATCCCGGCCCATTCCAAGCCCCGGCCTCAGATCAGTGGCCCCGCCCATAGCCACTGGATTGGCTTGGCTGCTCGATCGAATATGCTCGGGAGCCTATTGTTTCCATTTTCTCGACATCCGGTGCATCTAGTCTGGAATAGTCTGGAAGTTTGACACAGCCTGCTAGTCGTGCGAGCGGACGTGCGGCAACCTCCGGCATCATCTGCTATTCCACAACATCGTCTATCGTCGTCTGCCATGCCCAGACGCGGATATGGAAGCTGCGTATCGGCATCCGCTTTTGCCTTCGTCCGTCTGCTATAGAGAGCGCAAGTTCGTCTGCTTCCTTTACAGGGGTTGTGGTGACGTCAGAACGCCGAGCTCTGATAGGCTCTAATTGAAGGATTGTGGGTAGACCTTAATCAGGGTGATAGACAGGTGGAGAAACGAGAGCCAAATGAGCGTCCGGATTGTGTCCCCCTCGGTTTTCTCTTTTTCTGTGGCGCCATCTATGTGAAGCATCGCGAACTCTCACTCCGGGTGGGAGACCGGTGGCGACCGGCTAAACTGACGGATATGGTTTCTCGTAAATTTTCAGTGAAAGACTGTCGTGCTCCCGGTTTATTTTGCGCACTCTCCCATAGAGTTCCACGCAAATCCGATTCCGATTTTTTTCCTCTCGACGCAGTGCCATCTGTCGCAAATTGGACGTACCCGCAAGCAGACGAGTACACAATTCCGTCACGGCGCTGCGGTAGGGTTTTATGGGCTGTTTCCCCACCTGTCTGTCTCACACCCTGACCTCAACACAACTGGCTTCGGGGTGTATTCACTATCCTTCAATCAAAGCCGATCACAGCTCGGTGTTTTTCTGACGTCACCACAACCCCTGCAAACAAAGCAGACAAACGTGCTCTCCGCATTCCGCCCCTGTCTTAAAACGTCTGCAACGCTTGCAAGACGCGACCATGAAAGCGGCGTTCCAGCGATCTATCATGCACGAGCCACAGTCCAGTACAAGCGACTGTCAGGGTCTGTGACCGAGAGGACTAAAGAAAAGAATGAAAAATTAACAAAATAAATATGTCGTTTTCCAGGTGTTTTTTTTTTTTATTTTCTTCGCATGGCATCCGCGGGGGAAAGGTGGGTAAGCGTCATGGCGCACAACTAAAACGCGACCTGAAAATATTCGTATCGGGAGGCCCGGTGCATTGCGAAACACTGAGCTAATTTATTTTCGAAACAAACTGACGGGAACGAACCTGGACAAACTTAATGCGAGCCAAACGCCCCATTGCCCCCAACCAAAGTGCTCGCAAATTCGTAGCTGTGTAGGTAACCTTTCGGGATTAAAACCTTGGTTGCAATCGCAAAGCTCGCACAGTTCACAAAGCAGCGTTGCCGCTTTTTTGAGAACCAATATCTTTATTCAGCATCAATACGCGCAAAGGAACAGATCAAGCCAGGTCATCCAACATGCAAGGTGTTTCAAATAGCAGCCGGGCTCTTTAAATCCATTGCGAAAATAAGTTTGTTAACCTATCGCGCTACGATTTTCTGCAGCGTTGTACACTGCTGGTGCATTTTTTTCTATAAAATTTGCAAAGAGCGAACTTACCGGAAGAAAAATGAACAAAGATAAAAGCTTCGTTTATTTTTCCTCCGCGTCGTTAACTGCCGGCAAAAAAAAAAAGAAAAGCACCACCTGTAGGCAACGCTCCACAAAAGCGTAGTGCGATAGGTTAAGAAACCGCATTTGGGGTCGATTTGAAGAGCCTGGCCGCTTTTCAAAGCACCATGTAGTTAAAATGGGACGCTAGGCTTAGGTTTGTCCCAGTACCCACGCTACGAACCCAAGCTCTTGCACAGTGCCAGCAGCGCTTCCGTAGGCATCTACTTATAAAGATCGCTTGTTACAAACTACATCGGTTTACGAGATCTTCGTCTAAACACCGCGGTGAACTCAGAATGACTGGCACACATTAGCATAAACGAGCTGGACGAGCTGCTCTCGTTGCTCACTCCCATTGTTTCCAGTACAACTCAGTTGGGAAACTGCCACAAAGCCTGGTTTAAAACCGTGACTTCGATCCGCAGCAGGGTTGAAAGTTGGGCTAGTTGGTAGCAGTTCATGAGAAAATATAAAGCGCGCAATAAACAAGGACGAAAAAGAGAGGACTCGAAAGACAGACGAGCGCTTACTCGCAACTGAACTTTTAATAATATTTGGGAAAACATGAAGATAGTTCCTTTTACCGACTGCACATTGGTTATTCAATCCCCTTCCCTCGGCCCCTTTTACCGGTTCTAATCTACGAAACAAAGGAACCCCTTTTGCTACCTCCCCCGCACCACCCCCCCCCCCCCCCCCCCGCCCCCTTTTAACGTGCGCAGGGCACTGTCGCGGATAAGAGTGCTTCCTCTGCATCTGTCAAAGCAAGTGTCGGGTGACAGATGCCGCCATCACCCAAAGTTTTCGTAATAAAAGCCTATAAAACCTACCGTTCTCTCTGCTCCTGAAATCAAGCTAAAATAATGCTGTTCTTAAAAACAGCAGCACATTCACACCTGCTGCAGTGGACTGCTAAGTGGCCAGACGGAGTGTTACGGAGAGAGTTGCAGTTCTCCCTGAGTTTATCATTAATACAACGTCCAGTCTGGCCTTAGATAGGCCTTACCACAAGACAGCGGAATGCAGTACACGACTCCGACTCGTTTTCGTCCTTGTTTCTTGCGCGCTTTACATTTCGTCATGAGCTTCGATACGTTCTCGATAACCGAACTATTGCCAAACACAACGACGCCATTTCTCTCGCAGCGGCCACTCCGGGAAGTGCACGTCTGCACGTAAGAGTTCTGGTACAACCGCGCAAGGGCGGGTTGCGCCATCTCGCAAAGCCATTTCGCAGTAGCAATACAAATGAACTTTCATACTTTGACCAGTTGCTAAAGGAAGGCGCTGTTATCGTATTTAGTTTGGCCTCGGTGGAGATGAGCGGTCCCGGTTTCAAAGGTGAGTTTCCCAACGGAGTGTTTTAGTAGAGTTGATCACTCCGCAGACGCCGGTAGCCCTGTTCGTTGTCATTTCAAAGTCAAGCGGAAAGGCAATCTTTGAATACTTTTTGAAAACAATAATCACTTGATTTAGATTGCTTGTTTCTCAAACATAAAGACATTGTTGATCGCAATGCTCTTACAGCCCAGAGAGACAATTTTACAACCGACATTTCACACGTCAATCATTTCTTGAACCAATGAGATCTGAGAAACGGTGCTTAGTTTTGTGAGCACCGGGAGACAGGGGAGGGGGGGGGGGAGTAGATTAGGGCTACCACCACTGAATTGCGCATAACAAAAACATTGCACAAAAAAATTTCCAGTAGAGAAATGTACAAGAAAATATAAATCAAACAAAGAATCTTTTTTTTTTTTCACTTTATGTCTCTTTAAAGTGAACCCGAGTTGAAGGAAAGTCGATATTTTCTGACATTACAGCGGCCCACGCAGAGAAGACTCTAATGGTACTGAGCACCTACAGCAGCACTTCTATGGAGGTTGTGAAGAGGGAAGTGCCAGACGGCCTCTTCTGGTTCCAAGTACAGTTCGCCGTTGACCGAGACCTCACGAGGAGCCTGGTGAGACGGGCCGAACGATCTGGCTACCGGGCACTCGTGGTCACCGTGGATTCTCCCGTGCTTGGAAAGAATGTCGACGCAGTAATGCAGCGTTTCTATATGCATGACGGAATCAGGTGCGTGGAGCCTCAGGAGCTTTATTAATTATTGGTATTTATTTTTTACTCATCGGTAGAGCGAAGGCTCGCGCTGCGAAACCCAAGGGTTCTGGTATATATCCGTACTTCTGCCTTTTTCAATATGAATGATTCTCGTGCCAGGCTATCAGTTTACTGCAGTGGGCAAATTTCTTATCTCCAGCGAAGAGACCAGACGCCTATTGCGGATGACTGACTTCCCACTCTCTGAAGTACGCACAGTACATAAGTACACTGTTACTCATTGGTATCATTCATTATCATGTAAATAATGAGCCGCATGAAATCACATACTTCTCTATTCCTTGAACAATCACTAACTTTCATTGAATAATAAATAAATAATGTGACGTGACAAACAGCAAGACGATTTGAATATTCGAAGTAGAGTCCTGAAAATGAGAAAAGAAGGCGAGGCCATGTTCATCGGCCATAGTTAACGCTGGAGAGGGAAACAAATTGAACACATTTCACAGAATGAATCCAAGGGGAACTTGAAGTTAATAATAAGTTTAAAGTCACTTCCAGGCAATTGGAAAATCCTAGGTATTAAAAAGAGCTTTACTGTCAGGGTGTAAGGCATATTCCTTTACAAGGAAGTCGTAAAGGGGGCATTATGTGTATATACGCTACCCAAGTCGGAGGGGACTGAGTGACTCTAATCCCTTATCTTAGCATAGCTTATAGTTGGTGCTACAATGTAGGATGTCGTGATGAAAACGGGCCCGTATATTGAAATAAACTGCAATCTTTAACATGCATCATGCAGCGGCGGTTACATGACAGTATACAATGCCCACCTCCAGCTAGTCAATAAACTGTGATTAACATATCAGCTTCGATTCCCCAATCTTCTTTTGTGCGCCGCCAGTTTGGTGCGTAGTACAGGGCAAGCGCACTCGGTTATAATAACAATTCGAAAATGAAATTTTCTTAGTTTTAGATAGAGTATTACAAAGCTCTGTCACTGACTGCCTTAATATTTTTGGAGGAAGGAACTTAACTTTGCGCGATGTCAGATAAAACTTCAAAAAACTGGTAACAAGCACCAAGTCGGCTAACGTTTCGCTCGGAAGAGCATTGTATTTGGTGGCTATATGTCCTCCCTCATGGAATTTGACCAGGTTAAAAATTAGTGAATGTTAGAATAGGACGCCCCAGCGGTCCCGCAACCAGCTTGAGGTGCTGCACTCTGGATACTTGAAATGTCCTCGCACAACCAGTGCGATACCATAAGATTCTAAGAAGACCAAGAACCGTGAGGACTATACTAAAAGTCTCCATTGAGACCGAGGTCACTGGTTTCTGAAGCGCGAGCTCCTGGTTCGGTGTACCGAGCTGCGGTGCGCTACTAGTACAAATACATAGTATCTGGAACGCGTTGCCGGCTGTTGGTGTTCAGAGTCTTATTCCGCCCATGAACCGAAAATGGTCGTAAAGTGGCAAAACATGGCGTCACTGACGCCGGAGTGTCACGCTGTCGGATTGCATGCCGCGGTCCTGGCTGTTGGGCGTAGATGTCCTGGCAACAAAGCAATAGCAAACGAGAGTGTCGCTGTCGTCGCGGTATCCCAAACCCCGGCTTAATAAGCTTCCGTGGACTGTCAAGCTGAGATCAGCCCGCAGCAGAATAGGTGTGTGCCACATATACCACCGCCGCTGTGACACCACCAGGATCGCGGCCGGAGAAAACATGACAGTTCTGCGACGTGATCAGCCGGAGATCGAGGGACCGCTTTTTTGGACCCGGTAATCACATTTATCAATGACGCCTTCCAGGAACAATACTAGGACACAGACGACATGAGGTCGGAGAGAGGTCAATATGTACGGGTTTGCAAACAGAGTGCTGGACCATATATGCTAGCATACTGTTTACGAAATAATGACATCACCTTCATCGCTCCAAAAGCCTGTCAGTGATTGTGCCCAGTTCTCAGACACGTGCTGCTTGTTTGTAAACAGTTTTGTCACTTTTCCGTGCTAGAAAAGTTATATTGTACTTTGTCGTCCTATGAACTTGCTCTGGTGATGACTCCCGTCGTCCCGAAGACTTGTTATTCGCTGAATCACGACGTGGTTTTCTTATGAGGGTGATGAGCTTCTGCGTAAGGAGTTGCCACCCCCCTCCCCCCTGCCCTCCGCTTGCTGATGTTTCTGAGTGAGCTGACTTCGGGCATGGTCCATAGAGGCGGAGGTTGCAACGGCTAATACTCAAGGTCGTAATCTTGTGTGTATAGAACGAGGATTTCGTGGCAGCCGTAATATTACGGTGTCGTCAAAGTAATTAAAAAAAAAAACAAGGAGCTGCAGTCGCCCACGATTGTCTATAATAAATGTTTTTTTTTTTGTATTTTGATCAGTGGACGCGTGTTAAATGTTTGGCGTTAAGTCGACTTGTCTATAGCTTGACCTTCGACACCTTTATGTGAAGAAGGACCCTGAATACATACTGTATTAACCCTCATTACCAAACTTGTAAGAAAACAGACCGCTCATGTCGTTTTTTTTGTTTTTTCTCTAATAGTTCATGGCTACTTGAATTGCGATTTGGTATCGTCATTGAAGTTTCATGGGCCTGCTCGTCTGTTCAGAGACTCATGCATATTTTACCCTTTTATTCAATCTAAACTATCATCACCGGTAATAAGGCAGGTTTGCTCAAATAACCGGATGAGTCGTGTTGATGCATTTTTATAGTATTATTTAAAAAGAGAAGCATATCGCATATGTTTCAACTTTAGTCATTGAGTGTATTTTCGATGCGTTATTTTAGTGATTGTTCTGGAGCACGAGACAAAACAAAATGACAATGGCTGTTATTTTATTTTTGATAATAATGATGTTGAAAAATTCGGCCTCAAGACCGTTCGTCCTTTAAAAAGTCAGCTCTTACCGCTCATTCACACTGGAAGCGGATCCGCGTTCGCAAAGCGGTTGCGAACGCGGTTGTATAAAGATCCACTACAATTGCACGCCCACTCAATGACATCAAGTGCGCGTGATATTGTACTGAATCTTTAAACAACCGGCGTTCGCAACCGCTTTACGAACGCGGATCCGCTTCCAGTGTAAATGAGCGGTAACTCAGGGTATCGTAATGAAAACGCCGTCGACAAACGCGGAAAGTTTCCACAGCGCGTTTTCAACGCAGATTCGAGAACCTGGAGGCAAGCCCGGAAAACAAATCTGCCAACGTGAAAGCGATGGTGTCGGTGAGAGACGCCCACATCGACCCCTCGCAGTCTTGGGATGACATCACCTGGTTGAAGAGTATTACCAGTCTACCTTTGGTGCTCAAAGGAATCACTAATGGTGCGAACTTGCAAAGTATCCTTACACCTCTCGTGTTGATTTGAAACTTTGGTTTTTGGTGTAGAAAGGAAAATTGGTGCCTTCTCAATATTTAAATTACGTAATTATTCGAGCGCTGAAAATAATTAATTCTCTAGAATCTATACAATCTTTTATATTCACATTTTTTGTTTATTAATTATTATTTTAAGGTTTGGAGGCATTAAATAGCGAATAGAGATCTGCTCGATCTGCAGAGATACTCTAAAGCCGGTTACGGACTGACCGGCATTCGCATGAATTTCATGACTGGATAACGTGACGTGATACACGCCTGGGTTAAACGTACCGAGCTAAGATGTTTGTTACATAGAGAGAAAATATTAAAGCTGAGAATTGAAATTATTAATGTTTCGATGTCAGAAAAAAAAACACGAGACGCACTCTGTATTTTTAAAACAGATGGTATTTTAATGGATATTTCACCGTTGTGGTTAACTCGATGTAGATGCATATCTTGGACACTAAACGCAGAAAACACGATTTAGGAGTGAGGGCATTTTACAACTTAAGTATGACGCTTGCTGAAATCGCCAAAGAACAGGAAATGTACATTTTACCCATTGGTTCCCCAAATACAAATATGGCTACACAGGCTGCCCGCCAGAAGAGCGTCGAGCATGACTAGACGCAAAAGCTTGGGTCTAATAGGGTTCTTCTCCGAAGCGTCAGTAAGTGCCGAAGGACATTTATTCGGCTTTTATGTGATGTTTGTCCTGTTCACCGCATAATGCTAAAAGTACCAAACAAACGACAAAATGGCCCATTACCTTCCCAGCAACCCGGGGTCAAGCCTGGCACATATTTGCCTACTCAGTAAAAAGCGTGCCGGGCTCTGGCCAAAAGAAAATCCAAGGTTTTACGTTAACGTTCTTTGGGCGTTCATAGTTCTAAAAATTGACACGCAAACACCAAATTTTGGAATAAAAAACTGTGGTACTTCAGTAATAAAATGCAGCAATGTGTTCGTAAATATAACTATGAATATGATATATTTATAAATATTGATTTTGTTTTAACGTTAGAAGGAGAAGCGTTACCGAACAAACGTTTCGGGAAGTCTTCCCAAGTCACTTGTCTAGTGAAGCTTTTGCTGCTGTTCTAGCTTTCGTCTACATTTATATGCTTCGATTGTATTCGCAAATATGAGTGTACCGATCTAGCTTTCTTACCTTTCACAGCGGAAGACGCGGAGGAAGCCATCAGTCGCGGCGCTTCAGCGATCCTCGTGTCAAACCACGGTGGTCGCCTGCTGGACGGGCTCCCAGCAACCGTACGCTCCATCTGGCAAAGTCTTACTTTATAAATACTGCTATGCTTTAAATTTTGTAGACGAACGTCGATGATCGGGATGGAGATATTCCGTGTCTCCCAAGTACGAGGGCTGTTCGAGAAGTAATGAGGATGCTTTTGTGTTTTATTGTAAAGAGCTAGATGCGCAGTATTGTGATCATATTTGTAAAGGTATATAGATCCACTAGCTTAATCCTGGAGTTGGAAGATCATATTATTTATCGTTTTGTCGCAGCGAGTGATGGCGCCCGAGAAGTGTTGGCATATGGCGAATGGCAAAGTCGTGCTTGTCAGAGTAGGGAAGGCATTTCGTGATTGATCTTTGCCTTGACCATTAAGGAGTAGGGATTGCGGCGTAGCTCTTTTAATATAGTCCGGAGTAATCGCCGTGGAAATTCTGTGTGTTCGTAATTTTAAAATATCTACACGCAACTAAAGTTTTTACAAGGTGAAAATAAAATGGCTAGTTTACACTATAATTGAAAAAAGTGTACACTTTTGTGTAACGCGAAATTAGAGCGCAGCTCATAATGTTTCTTCTTTTCGGACATACTATGGTAATTATCAGGAGAGAGATACACAGATCTCGTGTGTCTTTTTTTTTTTTTTTGCTTTATAAATGTGTTAATAAAATGCCGTGAATGTTGCACTATGAGGTTTCTGAAGCTGAGTTATACGACCAGGGTTACATAGGAGGTTTGATTGAAAAGTTTCCGGAATCACCGTTAGGAAGGTTTTTTTACCAAAATATTTTTGTGGCGCTGTGTTGGGCACCGTTTCGTATAAAATGACCACAAATGTCTCATTGATATCTAAAAAGTAGGGCTTTGACAACCATTCTAGTCGAGCAACCAGGAACATTTTCAACGATGAATGAAAACAAAATTCGAACGTTCACTAATTTTTTTTTTATTTGGAGAGAAAAACTGTGATGTGGTGTAAATCATATCATTTCGTTCTTGGGAAGTCACCGCCTTCGTTTTCCACTGCGAGGTTTTGCGTTTCCGAGTTCAAGAGTGGTCGTACGGACACAATTGATGAACCACGGTCAGGACATCCAAAAACGGCTACCACACCATAACTTGAGGATAAGATCATGACTTGCTTTTCTAAGACCCCCGCATAAAAGTGAGTGAGACTAAAGAAGCAGTCGGCATCACTTCTGAATGAGTTGTTCGTATCTTACAAAATTAATTGTAATTAAAAAGGATCGAGGTACACCTAAGCATCTCTTATGAGTTGTGAATGCGAAAGCATGTACATATACATATCATTCTTGCTCTACGCGGGTTGGCGCGCTGACTGGCGCTGACCTGGCGCTGACGGATACGCAGCGCCGTAAAGTGGCCGGTTTTTGAAACTGACGCGTAACGTCAGTTTCAACGACTGGCCACCTTATGGCGCTGCGTATCCGGCGAATGGGAGACTGGTCAACGCGCGCCAGCCAGCGGGATCGAAGCGGTTTAAAAGGTGCCATGGCGAACCGGCGAATGGGAGCTGGCTTGACTTGAAGAAGGATTTAAGAGCCTTTTATCGTGGTTTGAACGCTGATGACGTAGGCTCGCGCCATGAGACAGTAGATGCCTTCCCATTAAAATCTTTCTGCAAGATCGCTGCCGTACTTGACCAGTCCGGAGCAAAAACGCATTCCAGTCGAACGTCAGCCGACAGTTGGCAAGTGTTTCAAGCAAATCCAACAAATTTCAAGCGACGATTGTAACTAGAAACGAGGCCTGGGTCCAGAAAAAAATCAAACGAAACATTAGACAGGGCCCGGTGAATCCGCTCAGAGGAAAACAAATATCATTCAGTTAATTGGCAAGGTGATGGCATCCGTTTTTTTGAGACGCCAAAAAAATTTTTCTATCTTGAAAAGAGAAAAAAAAAACAGTTTTTAGCCAATAATGCATAACACCTCTGGACAAGCGGAAACACGTAATTAAAAAAACACGCCCGGAAATTGTCGAGAAACAAGTGGGGTTTTACCATGACATTGCACCCCCCCCCCCCCCCAATTCAAGTGTAGTTGCTCACTAAAAACTAACAGAACTGAATCTCAAACACCATTCTGCATGCACCGTATTCACCTGATTTGGCTCCCTCGCACTTCCACATACTCCCGAAGCTCAAGATCTTCTTGGATGGAAAAAAGTTTTTGTCGAATGAGGAGGTGATGGAGACCATGAACAGTTTTTTTGGGGATCTAAAGAACGTCACTTCCCGGAGTGAATGGAGAAGCTGGAGAAACACTAGACGAAGTTTGCGTGTTTTGGGGGAATTATCTCGAAAAATAAAGTATAACGTAAATCAGATATATATTGCTTTCGTTTTCATAAACGAAACTTTTCAATCTGCGCTCGTAGAATAGGAGGCTAATCGTAACGATCATTAGAATAATTAAATGAAATTCGTTAATCAGCGTTTTAAATAATGAAAATTGATATACGGTTTCAATCAGAAACTATCTGAGCGCCATCGAAAAACACTAAATCAGTAATTTTCAGATAGACTTTGAGCGCATGAGAAGCGTAGTAGTGCACTGAAGTTACCACTCGTGGAGCAGGTGCAAGGCTAGCGGTTGCGGAACGCGGATGAGCAGAATATCATCGCGTTCGGCCATTGCTAGCTTTGCCCCTGCTGCACGAGTGGTAACTGCGGTGCGCGCCCAAGTTTCCCACGAGCTTCAAGTTGTTCTAAAAAGAGCTGATTTAGTGGTCATCGATGACGCTTTTTTAGTTTCTAATTGGAACCATATGTCTATTTTCACGAATTAAAAGGTTAATTAACAAATTTGAAATAATTACCCGACTTATCACAAAGGTTAGCCTCCCATATAATACCAACCTGGCAGTATAACTCACCTCCACAAGCCGCATAAATTCAACTTTCACGACTTCTCTTAAACAAATCTGCAAATCTTAAAAAAAACTATATATATCTATATATTAATGTATATATATTATGATTCGTTGTTTTTCTTTGAGTGCAGGCGAGAAAGGAGGAGAAGGGGGTACGGTGGGTGCCCTGTTCGGTATCAGCGAGACGCGTCAAGGCGCATTTAGTGAAGCAGTGCCCCGTGACGTCCCGTGGTGCAACGCCCGCAGCGTTGCATTATGGGTCACTTAGGTGCAAGTTCTCGCATATAGCGGTTACGCCGACGCCGACGGCAATTTCGACACCGACGCCGCTATATCATTACTCATTCCTTTTTATCGGCCGTCGTAGATTGTGCAGTCACGCAGGAAGCGTGTGATGAGTGCACACCCACACATGACGTCACGGTTACGCGTGATATACCGACGCCATGTGATGCCATGGTAAACGTCACCAGATATCTTCAATTGTGAAAAGGATTGGATACCTTCTCTCCTCCCCTCCCCCGTTCTCCCATCGTTTGAGGTGCAATCTAGATTGTTGTGTTAAAACCGCGTGTTCCATAGAGGATGGTGAAATATCTAGACGCTGTGCTTCGAGACATAAGAATTCCATAGAACACATTGGTACCATAGCAGCCCTCTCCCCGAAACGGTGGCGCGCTGAACGGCGAGCCGTTGGGGGAGAGGGGTGTACTGCTCGTGCAAGGGGCGTCTATGGGCAGTTTCGTAACCGAGCCAATCTAGCAGCGTTGTTCATGGTTTCGACTGATGGCACGGTGCAACGTTTCATCATAAAGTCAAGTGATTTCACAGTGTGACATGACTCTCGAGGTCACTTGATCTCGAAGTGTCACTCAATGTCATCGTTTTACATGACCTATACAGGGTGTTTGGTTTTTAATTCGTATAGTTATTGCTTTAAAACCTTCGTGATTGGTGCACTTTTGCGGTTTCTTCGGTTCTATAAATATTTAAAATATACTTATGATTTTAATTAGGCGCTTTCTGAGCGTCATCGAACACGCTCGCATCAACCAATTTTCTAAAATATTTACGGACGTGGGAAGCGAGGGGTTGTGTCAACTTGTTACCACTCGCGCAACAGGCACAAGACTATCGGAGCCTAAACGCGGATACTATACGATTTTCATCCACGTCTTCTTACTAATCTTCACTAGGGTACTGGATGGCGCATTTAGTAAACAGGCATGAAGCCACTAGATTTAAGCGGCTTGTCCAGGAAATGAGCGCTTGAGAGTCTTTCCAACTCTTTAGAGCGTTTGCTCAAACATTGTCTCAGGCTGCGGGCTTGCTTTCGTTATCTCAGGACAGCGCACTTGTTGCGCAAGGACAGCTCATGTGGGCTTGAGAAGTCTACTGGAAAGCCAAGCAATCTGCGAGAACTTGTAGATTCGAGCTCAGTTGATCAAGTGTGGATATCCCTATTCAAACGCCTCTAGATAAAAAGCTGAAAGGTATTACTAAAGCCCATGTAAAAATGCAAGAAACTGTGACCCAAATCATTGAATAAATGCTCTATGAAATAAATCCAAACAAAACACTGGACTTTCGGGATAAGCATTAAACTTCTCAATGGGCTCACTCGTGCCCGGCATGGTGCATCTCTAAGCAATATCCAACCTCATATAGTACAAATCTGTTCGTTTTCACACCATTAGCCTTGTGCCTGTTGCTCAAGGCACAAGTGAGAATTTTGGTGCACTCCTCGCTTCCCACGTCCATCAAAACCTTTTAACATCTACTGATTTAGGTGTTTTCAATGACGCGTGGCAAGTTTCTAAATAGAGCCATATGGGTAAGTTCACAAAGTAAAAGTGAATTCTAAAATTTTAGGTAATTAACTGATATGTTGACATCTCTTGAGGATTAACCACCTATATCATGCTCCCTGGCCGTAGAGCTTACCTACGCAAACATCATTAGTGTTCCTTCCGCCAATTTTTAAAACAAAATCTTTCGAAAGAAGTTCTAACCTTTCCCATATAGACGCTATATGCACTCGCAGATTGAGCTGCCATTGCCGACCATATTTTCTTACCAGATGTTGAGCAGCTGAAGCGGGGGCTGACGAGCCTCCACGAAAGCCTATGCTGGGGAGAAGGACTAAGTAGCATTTAAAGTGGCAATAACGTTTTTTGCTGCGGCAATGATGAAGTGAAGCGAACGGAAGAAGAAAATAGAGGGGTGCTATGGAGAATTTGGCAACCTTGAAATGGCGCCGGCTAACGGAATAAGAGGAAAGAAAAAAAAAACACTGAAGGTCGGTCATGGCGGCGCCCATGCACAGCTGCCTGAAAGCGTCTATAGCAAATAAGACAAACTGCAATTAATCCCGGCTTTCAGTTCTGCCTTGAAATTCATATTAAAGGTAAGCAAATTTTCCAGAGAAATTTTCTGTTTCCACCTTTCTGCAGATCGAAGTCCTCCCAGAGGTCGTGAGTGCAGTCCGCGGACGCGTCGAAGTTTACGTAGACGGCGGCGTCCGTCATGGCATGGATGTGATCAAGGCGTTGGCACTCGGAGCCAAGGCTGTGTTCGTTGGACGTCCTACCATCTGGGGGTTGGCGTACAACGTAAGACATCCACGATATTGCTTCAGCAACATTATCATAAAGAGACCCCATAGAAGCCTTATGATCAAAGAGCGTGAAATAGAAGAAAAAGTGATCGGAATAAGACACCAGTTCAAGCATAAAGGCTGAGCCAACTTCCAGATCTATTGACAAGGTCCTAGCTGAGATTTGCCGGGACGTATTCGGCATGTCGCCGTTGGACTGGAAACCTTCATTTTTTTTGTTGAAGCAAGGTCAGAGGTCCCCGAGGTCACTATGATACTTGAAGTCTGTCACTCTCCAGGAATCTTTCGCATAGCTATCGCACCGGCTGCTTGTTGCATACCAATGAGAATGCCACCTGCTCACAAGGCAGTGCTGGAACAGACCATTTTCGAAAGTGCACAAAGCAGCGTTGGTGATCGCCATTGCTTGGATATGAGAAAGCACTCATGTCTAACACATGCTCAGAGTATGTGCCCAAGCAATGACGGACAGGAGATGATGAAGACTTTTTAAAAAGAGGTCTACGGTCAGGTAACCTACAAGAGGCTAGAGGGCATGGACCCACGTGTGCTGCGTCAATCGTTCTGCTGTTACAACTGTTGCCTCATAAAATGACACCACTTCCGGATATACGCTGGCGCAATACCGTGTCCGATATCGCCCCCCCGCGCTCATCTTTCTGTGTAACGTAAACAAAATTTAGCACTATGGCCTTGCTATCTAGATGGTGTTTGCAAGGGCCGCTCAGGGATTCCTTAGAAGTCCCGGCGCGGTCACGGCGAGCGTGTCCCGATTTCGACGGTTTTTTCCTCGTGTATGCTCACCGACAGCTCAAGAAACGGTGGGCGCGATCATGTTTCGATCAACTTATTAGCCCTCCGTAAGAGGGTGCATTGCGGAATTATCCGATAAGAGCAGCAACGAAGGGGTCCGAAAGACAGAATCGCGAGCATAATAGGCCCTGCCTCGGTTTTCGTAAGCTCCTCTGACTATACGGAGAGAAAGTGTTTCGAAATCCGTCCCTGCACGTGTTAGAAGGCCAGTAAGGGAACGCCAATCAAATGACAACGTAATATATGTTCTAAAATACGCAAAATCGAGACTGACAGGCGCTGGCCGTCATTGGTAGAGGTCGTGGCGAAACAGAAGCACGTGAGCGTTTCTCTAAGGTAAGCAAAAGAACGAGGTGCGCAAAGAACAAACGAACGTGGCGGCTGTGTGCGTTCAACAGGTGAAGGGGGCGAGAAGAAACGGGAGAGGGAGCCACATAAAATGAAGGTGGAAGGGAGGGGGACGCACGGACCAGCGGAAAACTGAGGATGAATTTCGAACCTCTGGACAGGAACGCAATCCAAATCTCGGTTACACCATGTCTTCCCTGTAATGGGCTTCCCGTCACAATACGGGCATCTTGGCCAAGGTTTGGACCCGCCAACTCGGGATCCGTCCGGCACTTACACTCAATGCCACCAAGGAAGCGGGGAGGGAGAGCCGAAGCGAAAATAATTATAAAAAAACTTCGAATGAACTAAGTTATCTGGTGATCAGCGCAATGACGCTCCCACAGGGAGTGCAGCAAGGCAGTTCAGAACCATAATCCTAAGTATGCGGAGTCCGTGTTATGAATGCAAAAGGATATTCACGCCTGATAGCTCGGTTAATGAAAAAAGCGAGTGAGACTGGCGTGTTTAGGATTTTCCCTACTATATTCTCCGTGCATGTGAATTTGAACGAAAATATAATGTTGTTTTTGCACCTGTGCGTAATCAATTGTCAAGAAGGGATCACCTTTTCTATTTATTATTACGAAATGCAACATATAATATTTCTGATTTATGCGTGTCAGATACGCGTATTATGCGCATATCTTAGTGATGCGATGGGGTTGGAGAAGGATCAAGCATAAGTTGAGCTTTAGACATTGTTAGAGTTCGGCTATCCTCATCTTTGATTGTACACGAGCTATTGTTCGAATGTTTGACGATCCTGATTCTGATAAACACGAGCACTACTAGGGCTGATGGCAATCGAGAACGGCACGGCGTCACGTGACTCGTGGTAAGTCGTGACGCCATTTTACATTACGGCGTCAAGGATGACACTAATAGACCAAGTGACGTTTTCAATGTAAGTCCACTTTGAGCCACTTGACTACGTTACGGGACCAAGCGATGAATTACAGTGCCAATAAAAAAGCGCCAGGAAAACCCACAATTTCACATATATTGCACTTCGGTGTATGCCACTTCGATCCCTACATAAAACTACAGCTGACAATTTTTATTTCACAAACATTCGTTTTGTTACAAAAGAAATATCGCGCACCGCTTTGGGCCGGTCGTCGTTATATTTTTTTCTGGTTGAGTTCCGGTTCAGTTCGAAAATGGCGGCGAAGATTTCGGTTTGGTTCGGTTGCGGTTCGGCTAAAATAAATAATAGCTCAAGTTCGTCCGCTATTTTTGCAGCGGTTGCGATAACGTCAGAACGCCGAGCACGCTCGATGTGAAGGATATTAGGTAAACCACAAGGCAGCTTGCTTTGAAATCTACCCGTAATCTTTCCATCACAGCCAATCTGAGCATGTCGTTCTGGCGTTACCACAACCCCTGCAAAAGAAGCTGAGGAATTTCAAGAAAAGACTTCGGCTTCACTTCGTTCGTTTTTTGTTTAAACTATTTCGGCCTAATTGCTCGTTTAGTTTCCAAGCCTTCCAGCCATCCTACATTTTTCTCAATCCGTTCAATTTTAAGTTTAGTAATTGCCCCACTCCTCTCACGTGACGGCCCAGGTCATGTCCCCGAGTACCTTCTTATTTGGTGTGTTCCGATACACTCCCAGTTCCAGTCTGCGCAAGTTCTTCAGCGAATTTCCTTTTCTGATTGAATGTCCGCGACCTTATGCACAGTATAACCGTTAACGTAAAGTAATCTAAGCAGCTTCAAACCTTTCCAAATTTCCCCAACCAATTCATAATTGATAAATCTTTGCTCCCTTGAGTTTCATAATAAGCGAATGCATTATGCAAAAACTGCATTCAGGTATGTTCGAAGCAAACACGTATGTAAAACAAATATGCTTCGATAATGCTTGAAGCGCGTTTGCACATATCTTTTTCATCATATCCACCGGGAACACCCTGTGTTTTGTATGATGCTTGTGGATTGTGACTGGGGTTTACAGAGCCCCCAACGACCTCAACTCTCGCCTCGCAACTCGTCACCAACGCGTATGGTCATAAACTCTACAATGCTTGTGTTTTTAGCATAGCTACCGTCTTAAAATCTTGCGTGAAATAACCTCTTCATCTGCCTGCGGTCGTCGGATAACAAAATCACTACACGAGACATGCGGACAATATTGACATTTTATTCCGGACCACACCTGTGTGTCTATAACAAGGCTTCTTTACGTTTTCAGGGTGAAGCCGGAGTGAGGGAAATGCTGGCGATACTGAGGCGGGAGGTGGACCGAGATCTTGGATTAATGGGTAATTGCTTTCTTTAAACACCTCTCCAACAGGCTAAGACAATAAGGGAGAGGACTACAGTGCATAAAGCAGTGAACTTTGGTTGCTGCCTGCCGTATACAACGCAGAACTTGATGTCGTCTTCTGGCAAGACGTCTGCTTGTTGCTCTAATTTTCTCTTGAATGTTGTCCACCACTGCACGACGCGAGCACCGACCGTAGTTGACTATGCACTATAAAAAAAAGAGGTGGGGGGCGGGTGGAATTGTAGGGTAAATCGATTTTCCTCCCTTTCGCCAACGGAAGGAAAGGAAGTTGCTTCCTCTCCTTCATTTAACAGATTGACATTCAGTGCCGTCTTCTAGCACCTAAAGAAAGAAAAATAACTTCCTCCTGCATGTTCGTGGCCACAGCGGCGGTCAGGTCGGTGACGGCAGGGACAAGAAATTGAGTGCTTAATTTCTTTTTACATCCTTGGATTGGGGTGCTGAATTTAGATCGTATTAATAAAAAGCTTGGGGGAACCTTTCGCCGGTCACCAGCCCGGCGCTCCATTTAACGAAAGTTAGCCAGCGCTTGCCAAAGACCAGAGAAAACAGCGGTTAAGTTTACCTTTCTGTTGAAGAACATCCTGGTAAACTCTTTTATGGGGTAAAACCTGAAAGAACTCAGTGACGTTTTCTTTGCTTTTTGCAAACAATAACCAATAAAGCATTTTAGCAGCAACAGAAAAACATCCAGCAACTCTGGGCGATCGCCGCGAAATGGCGGGGCCGTGGAGCTCACAAGAAGCTAGGTTTGGCTTGTTTCGTTTCACTGGTTTGGCGTGTTGGGCTGTGTCTCGTCGCCTGTGTCGCGTATTTTGGCTTGTTCTTTGCGGAACCAAGTCTGGCTAGTATAAAGACTGATTTATTTACCTTAGAGTAAAGTTATTAAGTTAAGAATTGCCCCAACGTTTAAATCGGTAGTTTTATTGTTAATATTTCAAAAATTCAAAAGGGTGTGAAAAGACTTGCTTAAGCTATAGAAATTTCCAGACCACAAATTTGTCACAATAAAAAAAGAACGTCCAGATAACCCACAATTCGGCGTTCGCGGTTTACATGGCCTCAATCGAGAGCTATAATTCTTTTACACACATACAAAAATGTGAGAATGATATCTCCCCCTGTGGTATATTCGAAGCCCATTAGCGTTATTGGCAAATGCGCTTTAGTTTACGGCAATAAACAGGTATTTTTATTTTAACTCAAATAGAATTTGATAAAGAGAGCGTATAGCGGTTACATAAAGGCCGTCTTTCCTGAGTGTTTTGTGGCTCGGAGATTGTTAGATAGAAGAATATTTGTCGCGGTGATACAATAATTCACTAATATCTAATAACTGGTAGTACCTCTAAGAGGAATCACCGTAAATACTGTACTTTCGCAGGACTCATAAAAATCAATATTAAAAAGTTTTTATAGGAATTACTTAATTAATCTATTGCGGCAATTTTAAAGGCGTTAGATGAAGAGATATATACGATTCCCTTAAAAAAATCTATAGAAATATTATGTAGTAATATTTCGTCGGCCTTTACATGGACATTAGATTAAATGTGCCAATAAGTGTCTCATTGGAATATTAAAAAAACGACTGCCATACATAGCGATCGGGTGAACCATTCAAAGTGCATGTCGTTACAGGTTTCTGCCTTGTGTTGCTCTTGAATGTGTGTTCTGTTTGTATATGTAAGTGGATTGTATTGTATATTCACGTTTGTCTGTGCATTTGGAATTTGAATGGCAAGAAAAATACAAGCGGCAAAATTTCGACTTTTTGTTTTTGTTTTGTTTGGAGCGCCATTTGGTGGAAACCACATCGATCACAGTACGTTACGTAGACCTAAGCGCCGAATCGTCCTATGCGAACACTGTCGTTTTTCCCGTGCGAAAGTAAAGTGGTAAGCTGGGCAAGTTCGTAAACGTTGAACATGATAAAAATAGCACACCAAAGACAAGAAAAAACGAGTAAAAACTTAGAACACAAAGAGGCACGCGCCTGTTTGTGTTCTGTGTTTCTTTCGCGTTTGTCCTTGTCTTTTGTGTGCTCATTTTTCATCGTGTTCCCGTACGAGATATGAGGTTCGTGCTTGAAGACGGCTCTTTTAGAGTCTCTTGTGCACATGAAAGACGCCGGAAAGGAGTATGCGCCGTTCGCTCTTATTACGGTGAAGAGCCGTGCAGATGGACAAGCCTTTGGACCCGGTTCGGACTAACGTTCCGCCATGTTGGTTTAGGGGAGGAGGTTTTACTCCGTTCGTGGGAATCGAAGGAGAATCGAACCGTGGGAGGATAAAATTCCCAACCTTTTGAAATAAGAAAATTGTGCTCCCTTGGCGGAGGACTTCATCGGACATTTCTTCTTCCCCTTGAAAGGAGAAAGTTTTTTAGAATGTACAGGGTTTCACAAAAGAAAATTTACACGGTCTTTTTTACCGCAAAAATAAACTAGGCATCGCCGAACGCTCATTCTCCGCCCAAAGGTAGAGCTAGAGGTCACAACCAGGTGCCAAAGTTTCATCCCGATACGATAACTTAATCAAAAGTTTTAAGTGATTTTCTGAAAATTTCAATGGGAAAATGGAGCCCATTTTCGCCCGTTTCCGGTTTCTGGTGCCATAGAGCCCCATGTGTTCGAAAACTCCGTCGGCCGCCATTTTCCCATTGAAATTTTCAGAAAATCACTTCTAACTTTTTATTAGGTTATCGGATCGGGCTGAAACTTTGGCATCTGGTTATGACCTCTGGCTCTACCTTTGGGCGGAGAATGAGCGTTCGGCGATGCCTAGTTTATTTTTGCGGTAAAAAAGATCGTGTAAATTTTCTTTTGTGACACCCTGTAGTCTCTGACATTTTCAAAAATGCATGGTGTGATCTGTTATGTTCGCACTTTTTACTTCAGTCACTATATCAGATGATGTTCTCTGGAGTCTCTGACAGCTTAAGAAAAACAGGGTTTCATGAGTACCGAGCAAGCTAGTATTGCTCTAAAGAAATTGTAGCATACACAGCTACATAGAAGCTTAGAGTTTTTGGGCGATCTCATGTCTTGACTGTCGTCTGCAAGCATCTACGAGGAGTTTCTGAAAAATTAAGGATTTTCTATATTGTCTGGCTGTTTATATTTACTGTTACATAGCGTGGACTGCCCGACATTTGAGCAGCAACGAAGAAATTGGGTAGTTATTATTTTTTTTTTCGTGATGGATTAGCAGCGAAGGGTAAATTTGTCGTAACAGGTCGGTTAGGGGGCGCCTCACTCCCCTTTGGTTCGGGTAACTTAAAGGGGCACTGACACTCCAATGGTCTTATCTTTCTAATGTCTAAAAGGATGCACGTCGTAGTCGTAGACACACAAAAAAAATACCGCATCGCAAAAAAAAAAAATGAATACCCCGCTGAGTGCGCGTCTTTTTTTATTTTTGGCGTTTTCCTCTCTCGCTCGTCACCTCCCTGCTTCTTTTGATTGGTGACGTCACGAATAATAAAATTTAGAACCTTTGTAGGCGACATTTCTATAACAGTTAAACACTACAATCGTAAAACATGTTTTTTAACGCAATTACGAATGCACTACGGCCCATCTTTTTGAAATACCAAAAATCGTAGTCCGTTGTGATGTCACCTTCCGGATTTTTATCCTACCTTCGAACACATGACGGCGCTCGACCCATGTACAGCAAAGGGTGATCGCTGAGTCGGGGATTGAATGAAGTGGTCTTCTTAAAGTGCCCGAGGACCTCTCAGATTTCGAAAAGGAAATTGGCAAACCGTCAAAACAACTGGGTTTTTGTGTCTGTGTATCATAGTTTTGGTTGTGACATCGGCGGGGCACCGTCGTCTGCTCGAAGCATCCGGCAGCACGGCACTCACGCAGCAAACCGGTTTTCCGGTACGGTAGTTTCCGCGACGCCGGCGCTTCTCTCTCCTCGCTTCGGGTCGCGGAGACACGTTTCAGAGCGGAGGCGCGAAAGACACTCGACCCTCAGGAGCCCTCAAAATTTGACGTCACTCCACCGGCGCGGATCGCGTGAGAACTTCTGATTCGACCGTTTGGAAATTAAATTTTTACTTCACAAAAACTGAATTTCCAAGTTTCGAATTTTGAGGGTAATGTCCAAGCAGCGATTTCAATCGTTTCAAACAATAAAAAAAATGATTTGATGTGTCAGTGCCACTTTAAACTTTTTTACTACGTTATTCATTTGTATGTGCTCTTATTGGCTAATGGCACGCGATATGATTGACCAGGGGGCGTTAACAGGGTGCCCGAGACTCACCACACATTGCGTCTTTTAACTTGTCATTGACTAGAGCAGTTTTAATTACAGGCTTTTTTGCTGGAAAAGAAAACAATGAGAATTTCGGCAAACGCCTTTTCAGCGTGAACGGTGTAGCAAATCGAATCAACCAGTGTGTTTGTTTGTGCGTGTGTCTGCGTGTTTTGTGTGTGTTTGAGCGTGCGCGCGTGTGTGTGTGTGTTCAGATAACTATTTTAATTGGTATCGATCACAGAAGATTGTGCCTATGCGGACGTGTTCCTTGATTATTAGACTACTTAACTTGAGGGCCTGGTCAGCCGTTACTCGAGAAACTTTTTCAAACGTACTTAAAAGAAGCTACTGCCCACACTCACGCAAACCTCAAAGAAGCAGAAGCTCCAGGATGGCTCACGAACATATACTGTTCAGAAGTATATATATATCATGCTTCCATATATATATATATATATATATATATGAATGAATATGTGCAGATGAAGGAACCGTACTTAATCCAATGAATCAAAAAATCAAAGTGTTCAGGAACCCGCCGAAAGCCAAAAATTGGCTCCGCCAAAGATGGTACCTGAAAACTTTGATTGTTTGATTCATTGGATTAAGTACGTGTGATAGCCAGCGGAGCCACGCGACCACCAAATATCAAAAGCGATCTGCAGCCAGAGCGCGTGCCCGCAGAGCGCGATCCAGAGACACG